CAGCTTCAGAGCTTATAAGACATTCTGGCTTCATGTGAAGTTTAAGCTTATATAGTAACTTAGAACAGACACATTTCCCTTGTGTAATATTAAGCTCAAATCCTATTGGACAATCATTCAAATTTATTACACTGTGAGTTGAAAAGCTACCATGGATGGTTGACATGACAAAGAGCTGGACTGCAGAATTAAAAGGTTCTGGTACGTCGTTTTTCTTGAGCAGTCTCAGTTGAACTATAGTATGAGATGTCGATTCCATTAAAGCTTGATTGACATCATTAGGTGCAATATGCCATGAAGGAAGCAATCTATGACGATCGTATTTTCTTGTCACGTGATAATTTAAAGTAAATGTTGCAACAGCATACTGTCTCAGACCCAGACTCATAGGACACCCCTTGTAAGGTTTAGATACATAGCATGCAGACAAGTTAAGTGTCATGATTTGACCAGGATATACTGGTTTGTCGTAAGTAGGCTTGACAACAGAGTTTGGTGGAGTTGACATGTTATTGAGATGAGACTTAGACTCAAACCTAAATATTTTATTGTACAATGAAAGCAGATAAGAAGCATCTTTAGATTCTCCATCAGTATAACATTTATACAAGTTACTACTGAAAATGGAACTGCCTGATTCATGAGCATTGTTATTAATGAAAGTCAAACTAATGCTAGACCAGTTTGTTAACATAGTAGCTTCTTGCCTCTGTAATGGATTGAAAGTGCAAGTTTCTGATAGTTCGTTATATGCAAATATAGCACCTCCTTTAGTCAAAGCAGAGTTGTTTATAAAAGTTGCATTTAGTCCATTAGCAAGATAAAAATGACTGCTATCAGTAAGCTTAAAAGCTGGTCCTTTCTCACCTTTGTTGTTTCTGAAGTTGAGTGAGCCAGCTAGCAAGTTTATTCTTGTCTTAGCCACTTCAAACACAGATCCATAGTTATCATTAAAATGATTAACTCCAGCAATGTTGAGTTCTTTAGCATTAAAAATTGAAAAAATCCCAACTCCACTATTAATACCTAAGATGCTAGTATGAGAGTTATCATGTGCAGTGATGTTCTCCAACAAAATACTTAATGCTCCAAACGGGGCCCTGTCATCATAAAAGTATTCTCTTGCATACAGACAGGCACCAGTAGTCCTGATGCTGTTGCCATGAAATACAACATTTCTAAAAGCAACAGAAATGTTCATGCTGCTAAAATTAGTAGGCTGGAAATTAATAGGCCAGTATATTCCAATAAAAACAGAGCCACTGCCTCTACTGTCAAAAAAGTCATTTTTCTTAGCTATAAAGTAACTGTTCTCTACCAGTAGTGGAGAGATGTGACTAGGAGGTACATTCATCATTACAAATGCTAGTCTTGAGCCATAAGCCTGGCATTTCTCTTCATCTATTACATTTTCATGGCCAAAATCAATATGATTAAGTGTTGTTTTTCCACGACTGGTCCCATAATGAAAAATTAGCATCGCACCTGACATAGTCCCAATATTCTGAATGAAAATTAAATCCTGAATATAGACTTTTGATTCAAAGTTATGCTGAGTGTATAAAATAGTAAAACCAGCAGCATTGATAACTGGGAAAGGTTTACGAGGAGGTGTATTTCGCAAATCTCCAAGACAACCAACACCTAAAATGTACTCAATATTGAAAAATATTGCTGCATAGCGTACAGTAACATTGTGGAGACAATCATTTGTTGGAAGTTCATCTGTGAAAAAAAACATAACCCCACTACCAATACTAATCCCAGTGGATGAGGCACTACTACTTGAAGAGACAAACAGGTCATTTATTGTTGCATCCATTGGATTAATGGCTAATATAGCAAAACCATAATATTTTGCTATAATAATGTAATCTAGCACTAATCTCTTGTTGCATAGAAACACCAATACAGCCGAGTGGGTATGAGAAAAGTAAACCGAAGAATTAGTTGAATTAATGATGCCAGTGATTGAGGAGTTCCTTAAATACCCACCACAACCCTCAAACAATATTCTGCGCAATGTCAGACTGTGTGTATTGATAAAAGCAAAACCAGTGTTTGGCTGACCATTTTCACTTCCATTGCAATGTATGGTAGCCATTCTTGTAGTATTACCAGCAAGGTTCAATGAATAGGTAGTATTGATGCTGCAAATTGATACATCACTGCTGATGTAATGAGTAATGTTAGTAGATAATACTACTATAGTATCCTGGGAAATCGAGTTGCTGTTGTTACATAGAAACTGCTCCAGTTCATTGCTCTTTGTGATATTGATCACTTTAGCCTGAGGGATGGCAAGAGCTCTTGGAGATGAGACAAAAACAAAAACAGCAAAAAAGAAGTGAAGGAAGAGAGACATCATCTTCCCTGCACAGACTCAATAGAGATATGCATGGGTGGGGCATGTGACATTACTTTCAATATCAACAAAATCAATAACTAGTATCATATCTTTTGTATGAAAGCAATCAATCTCTTATCATTTTTTCATAAAAAAGATAAGGAAAGTATGGACAAATATCCAGAAATGTTTTCACTGGAAAGATTAGAGTATATCTAAAAATAAAAGCAGCTTCTTTGCTGCATACCAAATATACATGTTTTTATAGCTAATGCTGCTGAATAAAGCTAATAAGGAAACATTTA